TGATACCTACTAGAGAAGAAAATAAATAAATTCATAATAATTCTGTCAAAATAAACAAAATTAAATATCGATAAAATTATGTAATATTATGTATAGGTATTAGCGTATTACTAACACGTTTGATATTAAATACTAAAAGAGTCTGTTTGATTTTGGAGAAAAATTCTTATGTAAATATATTTTTTTAAATAATTTTTACCCTAATTACCTAATTACACGAAAAAGTTCTATTGACTTTAATGAGTATATCAACAGTGAAATCTTTATTAACTGGTATGAGCACATTCAATTTAAAATTGCCCGGCAAAAAGTTATGTAGCTGCTGTTACATTGATTATAAATACTGAAAATTTAATCAATGGCTGTTGTAACGTCTGATAAAGTGAACACTGAACGCCATAAACCGGTCCCAACTTGATGATATTTTGCTTCCCGTTAGACATTATATACACATATGTGTTTATATTATGTAAATAGTATATTTTGTATTTACATTAAAATATAATATTAAGAACTATCAAAAGTGGGAAATAAAGATTCATTTATCATCTACATGTTTCATGGTTCAACAATTGCAAACATTTAAATTTACTTAATAAAAAAAATTGACTTAATAAATATTTAAGACAAATCAAATCTAATCATATTATAATAGCGTATCATAATATTTGTTTTGTAAATTAAGTAAAAGTGACATAATATAAAAAGAAAAAAATCAATAATAATACTTTTACAATCTTATTTACCGGGGGAATCCAAAATATTTATGATATGTAGGTATATACATATTATAAAGATTTTGGATTTATTTCTCTACAATTGCGGACAAATGTCTCTCTTGTAGACATTTTTAATTGTTCACAATTTACTGTTATCCGATATTTAGAGGTTTGTTTTGCCTAGCTGACGAGGAGAACCCTACAATGATGAAATAATATCACGTAAACTCTATGATTCAGGCGTACCTATTTGATAGTCGGACAGGCTTGAGAGTGAAAGGATCGCGCAGGAAAGAGGTTGCTTACTTCGTATGCGCATTACGTATGATGTTTCAAACGATGTACAACAAAAATTTAAATTTTATAAGTAGCAAATAATACGAATAATAATATATCATGTACCATATAGGCATGTACAGGGCCTTGAATAATATCCGAAGACTCAAACAAAGGTTCTCCAGGTAAAAGTCCAATTATTAGATTTTTATGACCAATAAAATGTACAAGGTCTTCAAACATTATTGTACGCATTGGCAAATTCCTTTTCGACTGAGGTTGGTCAGATTGAAAATAATAATTACTTCAAAGGACGATTTTCATGTTCTCAAGATACTACATAATAATATATTATGTATTATGTATAATATAATACTTTGATAAACAATAATTATTATTATTATTATTATTATTATTAGTATAATTTAAAAAATATTGTATAGCATATACTTATTTTTTTTTCTATACTTTGTGTACGGGTTTTAGCATAAAATAACGGTTTAATGATTAAAAATACATACAATTAAATACATGCTCTACATAGTTAAAACTTATTTATAATATTATTACGTCCCAAGGTAAATACTGCAGTTAACTTACTTTCTATTTCTATATTAAGTCGATTTTACAACTATTCAGTAAAAAGTAGGTAGATACTTAAAAACACAATACTTACATCGTATTATAAATTAGCCAATGAATATAAGTATTATAATAACTGTTTATTTATTGGACATTTAATTTCAATTAATATGTTATTTAATTTACGTTTAGTTAACCGATTTGAGCGTTATGATTTTAAAAATATAGGATGTTTGGCTTGGTAATCTTACAGAATTTTTTCTAACCCAACATTTTGCATAATTTTAAAATCAATCCAAATTGATCAAATCATTAAGTGGGTGCCAATAATTATAAATTGTCTTCGTACGAAAGAATAAAATCTTCATTACAAAATATTGTCTAAAAAACTATTTTATTTAAAAGTGGCATATGTGATCACTTAACATGAAATACATTTTTCGTCGAAAATCTATCCGTAGCTTATTAATTTGATGTGAACAATTTTTGTAATCTTTCTATTTTTCTCATTAAATAAAATGTTAACTCTCACAGTGCTGCATCCATCTTACAACTGGACGACTTGGCAAATTTTCAATAAGCAGTTCCAATTTCGTGTTGTTAGCTTAGATATTACTTTGTTGGAGTGAATTGACCTATTATCGAACACAAAGGTAAAAACCAATCTGTGTTCTCTCTCAAGTGTGAATAATATTTTATAAAAAATATTAGAAGGTAATTCAAAATGCTCGTAACTCAATTACAAATTAAAATATGGTCAAAATCAACGAGAGAGATGATAATTTTTTAACCTTTAAGTTTGATAAATCTATCTAATGATATTTAAGTTAACAACACAAAATATAAACTGCTAAACGTAAAAGTTGGTACCTATGTTATGCATCAGTAAGGTGGAGCAATACACGCGAGTACGACGTTCGCTTAAATAAGAAATAGCTTTGCAGTTGTAGGTTTTCAAGAAGAATTTTTTGTTCTGTCGACAATTTTATAGACTATTGACTGTTTTATTTTTTACAATTTGGAATACGATTAATACTATTTTCGGGTACTCTACTTATTGGTACTTATGATCGTTTCATTTCTTTGACTCAATCGGTATCGGTTGCCTAATTGTGAAAGTATAATAATGCTAGAGTCATTATATGGACCTATATTGAGTTGCAAAAACGATTAAGCGTCCGTACAGGTATTTTTATCAAATCTAAATCACATCATAATATATTATATTATGATAGATACATGATTTCGTATTACCGACCGAGCAATAGCGTTTATGGCAATCTTTGTAACTTATGGACTACCCACTTGAAATTTTTACAACTATAGTTATTAATGATGAACCGTTAAAAGTGCTTAAAAGTTGATCCAATTTGTTTACTTGACCAATTGCGAAAAAAAATCAAAAAGCAACTCACTATAATTATTCTGTGTATTCGTGAAAGGCCTAAATAATTTAAAGTGGTTTGCTGCGTGCAATCAACCGAGACAGATTTCCTATTCTTGTTTACTTGGATTTGCGTGTTTTTGCTTTGGCTCCGGGAAGTACCGTCATATTATCATCATACGACGAATAGAGAAGTAAGTTTTTACTCTTATTGATGGTGTGTGTATTTTTGGAAAAGTTAATTACTTTTCCGATTGTAGCGAACAACATTACGGTCAAATTCCACATGATATTGTTCATAATAATAATTTGGCTTTTACCAGGTTTTGCGTTCGGTTGTAACCACTGTTATCAACTCATTTGTAACCACGGTTATCAAGTAACTTATAACCAGTTGATAATCGTGGTTATGGCCAATAAATCTCATTGCCGTATTATCGTTATCTTTTCCAGCGGACGTTTAATATATTATTCATATTGTTACACCTAGCTTTGTTATAATACATTTTCAATATAATTTAGTAGTTCTTGTGCCACCTAATTATAAGATTTTTTTACCGGCAGTTCACGAAAGTTGTGATGATTTATTTTGAACTTTGGTCAACAATACCTACACAATAATGATATACCTATAGAATATTATTGGACATCTTTCAGGTACCTATTTTATAAGACCCTTAACCCATATAGTACAGTAGTTTCCGTAATAATAATATATCTAGACTCTAGAGAACAAATCCACCCGAGGGTTTACATAACCTACTAGAGTTACTACTATCGCTGTATTATATGGTATTGACTTAGGTACCTATACATCATGTGTGCGTACTTATGCGTATAATCAACGCGCTACTATAATATGTCTACAGGTTTCACTATTCTCGCTGTTGTATTAATAAATTGACCATCAATAATGTAATTACACGATCGATACGCGGATACCTCGACCTACATGCGAGCAGTAGGTATATAAGAAATAATAATCATTACAATTTACAAATGTTACATTATTATTAGTGGATCCATGATAATAATGTGATTTGTACGCGATCGCAGTGCACTACAGGACACCTACCTGCAAAATAATATCGTCTTCGGCAAGTGACCTTATATACTCGTAATATCACTTGCTGTCGTTTCTGTAATGAATAATGATAATAACAATAATATGACCTTAAAGCAACGCCCAACACACAGTGCAGTATAGTTATTAATGCGATGGGGTTTTTTTCAGCAATTTTATTATTTATTTTTTACATTTTTTTTTCTCCGCTTTTTTATTCACACCGTGAGTTATTGTCCTACTGCAATTTCGTGTCAGGCAAATTAAAAATTTACTAAACCGTTGTCATTGTGTTTTAATGTGAGCGATTAAACGCCGTCCGTCGTAAACAAAACCGTACGTCACCGGTTTTTTTTCATCCGATCTAATCATTTTATCATAACAAACCATAATATATTATAATAATATCATAATATAACTACTTATACAGCGTCCAAGTAAATGTATCTTATACAACAGAATTAAAGTCTCGTTCGTCGTCCAAACTGCTACACACTTTTTAATTTAATTTTCACTTTGATTTATAACTTATTTAACAATCAAATCTTACAAATATTTTAGACGATATTATTATTAAATCCATAGGTATTCCTAATATTGTTTCAAACTCTATTGTTGAGCTAACAAAAATCATACTTTTATAAATATGTAGGTGACAATGTTTAATATATATTTTAGTGTAGGAAGTATAACAGCTATAATAGTATGTTTAGACGTTAATATTGTTATTTATTGTGAATTTAGGGAAGCTGGTAGGTATAACAACTTTCAAACGTTCTTCCGTCAAACGTTAATTTGAAAAACAATAGTGAGAACATTAATTGTGTACTTCTCACCACATAACTGACCAAGACCTTGCAATAATTTCCTTGAAACGACCCAGAAAAAAATATCAGATCCTCCACCGTGAAAATAAATGTAATATTTTTGACATAATCTGTTTTTTTTATTTTGTTTTAGATAACACGAATGAAACATGGCGTCGGTTCTGGTGAACATGGCCATCGACAGATATATAAACCTTGTGGACTCCATAAGCGGTACATTTTTCTTCATTTTTTTATTTTATGATTAAAGTAATATAGTTAATTAAATTACACAAAACTTACAAAATATATAACTTAACCATGTCATTTTACAATCCCAATAATAATTTTTAGTTACAAAAAAAAATGTTTTTCGTTTTTAATACAGACCCCCGAGTGAACGACTGGCCATTGATGGACAGCCCGTTCCCAACACTTATCATGGTCATCACATACTTATATATCGTCACATACCTGGGGCCTAAAGTAATGGCCAACCGAAAACCCTTCAAACTGAACAATATACTAGTGTGGTACAATGCTGGCCAAGTCATCTTCAGTCTCGTCATGCTGTGGGAGGTAGGACCTATTGCAAAAATTAAAAATAATAACAATCACCGCGACTTTCAAACGTCATTTCTCACAAGATTCGAAATTCTGTTGTCAATCATAATATTAAACCGTTGCATAATAAAAACACATCTTAACACCAAAGAACGAAAGTCAGAGAGGTGTGTGGTGGAATGAATTATATGGTTTTGAGTGTCAGTGGGTCAGAATCTTCTTCGGACGGGTATATATGTATGATAATATTTCCATAGGTATAAAATAGTCAATAATAATAGTTTATTCAGTTATATAATGCGAGTTAACCTATTCCGTATAGGTGAAATCTATCGGAACGTCTAAAAAAAATAAACAATATATAGGTATGTACAATAATAATAATAATAATCTAACAGGTACCTATATTTATCGTAATGCTTGATGTGGCACGCACAAATACCGAGTTGAGTTTCATCATAGTTATAATATACAGAGAACCGGAATTAATAACGTATATTCTGAAGTACTTTGTTAGCGATTTAATAAAAAAAAAAATGTTCAGTTATTATGAATCTTGACATTTGTTCCTATGGTAATATATGATATTAAAATATGTGTAATTTGGGTATTATATTCACTAATCCATTATATAAACGACAATTAGGAAGAAAGTTATCTGGGACAAGACTTGACTCTGACTGTTGTATCTTATCGCATAGACAGTTGTTTAAGTTCGTAGGGTATAATTTATATTTTTTCCAAAACACCTTTTCACGTACGTAATAATATGATACGGCTGCAGACAACCGCAAGAGTGATGACGAAAGGACGAACACGGATTATCGCGGAAGCTCTCCGTCGCGATTTCTTCGCTTGCGGGGAGTTTGTAGACGTATCTGACCTTGACCCATTTCCATCCAGTTAGTTTTTTTTCTCGTCGTTTTGACGGAAACCAAAATTCGACATTGAAATCAGCGAAATCGTTACGATAATAATATATAATATCATTACACAACCACGCGTCGGAGATACCGAAAAAGGATACGCTGCTGCGTATTACTATACCACTTCTTCCTTTGTTCCTGCAGGCTTTTTAGCCGTTCAAAAGTTGGTCACGCCACGATGCAATGTTATGGAATAATAAGACGTAAAAAAACCTGAAAACCATCAGCCCCGTGTGGTTTCGGCACTCGCGGCACAACTGGTTAAGCTCCGAGCGTATACTTACCTGTTTTATGTACGTGGCGTATTATTATAAATTCAGTGGTGTTTCAATGTTGCCATAGGATTTATGTTCTACAATCATTAAGATTCCCATGTCGAGTTTGGTTATCGAATATTGATGAGATGTTGATCGATAGTAAGTTGTCTGCAACCGAAGTGGATATCAAATATAATAATTTATATACAGTTAATAAAATCAGAACGTCCATCACAGAGTGACGACTTTTCGCTTTTTATATTTTATAATATTAATAATAATAATATATTTTTTCAGTCGAACAATATTATTTTTTTTTTTCAATAACATTTAACATGATAATATAAGTTTGGTCACCTCCTATGACTATAATTATTTTTACATAATATTATGTGCACCACACATGGAAATATCGCCGACTAGCCTAAATTAGCCTAACGTGGGTGATTCGTAATATATCTCAATGATATTATAAAATATATCGAATTCAAAATGTATGTAACTCTAATTTTGTAAGGAAAATGTTTTATTTTTGCAATGTAGGTGTGTAAAGAAGTTTAATATTAAATGACCAAATGTAAACTCAAAAAAAAAAAAAAAAAATGTATGTGAAAAGGTAAACGGATTTAATATATTGTATCATGATAATATTAGTATATTATCTACAGCAGACTCGATGACGTCACGAGCACTCAAATATTATATTATATTATTAAATAATAATCATAATGTATAATATAATGTAAGGTACACATAGACAATGTGAGTGTGTGCGTGTATGTGTACCTATATCTACCGGGGTATGATGTAACACGCGGTCCGGCAACAAACGCCCCTCTTTTCCAGCCCGCCCGCCCTGCTGCCGTCCTTGTGATGTAATATCCACGCCGACCCAACCCCGGCCCGGCCAGATCACGTTCCTTTTTCCTTCTTCGTCGTCGTCTTCTTCTTCTTTTTCTTCTTCTGCTGCTGCCGCTGCTCACACTTTCACTCGAGCCGCAGCTTGACGGCACCGGGTCACTCGCATCGAGGTCATGATCACACGCGCGCCACGTGTTATTCCGCAGTCGTCGTCGGCCGATTGGACTATAAATAATTATTGGACGTTTATCACATTCATTTGTGGACCTCATTTTTCGTTTGTGGAACTCACGGGAACCCAAAGACTGCGCACAAACATCACAACAGACTCACCAGCCGGGTGGGACGACCCTAAGGTCTCTAATTGTATGTCGGGTTGGCACCCACGCGGGGGAGGGTTTTGGGGCCACATCACACTCTTTATTTGGTTCGAATTAATCTTATATGATCCAAATATTGTTGTCTTAAGCATATCTACGTATTTAATACGAATCATAATATTATGTTATATTGTTGAGTATTTTAATTATCGTAGAGGATGGGTGAAATCAAGATGTGTTATCTAATTATTTTTTTACATAGTAGCCCATAAATAAATTCACGTCAGATACGCCCACACTAAATTTAATAACATAATCAAAACTGAAAGGTATTACGACATTTGAATAGTAGACCTAAAATTCACGTTTCGTTAGGATTCACTTAAAAGCGGTTAAAATTATTGAAATTCCAAAAAAAATATTTACTTTTCATTTTTTTTTATACTTAGCTCTAATGGTGTCAACATGGTGTTCAAATAAAATACAAATCATTTACAAGAAAATTAATAACACATTTTTTGTTTGTATAACAGTAAAAAGTACCCATATATTCATTTTCCTTAAGTCTGGTGGCTGCTAAGTTTGGTGTTTATCAATCCTATCATAAAATGCAAGTGCTGCTCGTAATACATTATTATATTTTTACTTGAACATTTTTTTTCGATTTTACTTATATGTGCCTATTAGTTTTACCAGACAGATTTAGAGACCACGACCAGAAAATAATTAATTATATCATTTAATTTATTTGTCTCGTTAAAATAATTAGTGGTTTAAGGATAATGTTATATAGATCTCTCACAGTAGTACTTAGCAAGTAATTTGTCTCTATTCGTCCTTGTTGGTACAGTTGGTTATCGTCCGTTAGCCTGTATAATTGCCCGGCCTTGTCAATAGATATGATCCACACAAAATCAGTGTCAAAAAAACGTGTAGCATCTCCACATTAGATCGGTATAACTATTATCAAGTATCAGCTCATATTATAACTATAGACGACAATTAAAAAATTCAATAACAATGATTTTATTTTTGATTACCCGTATAATTCAAGATGTATTAGCTCAATAACAGATAAAAAAACAATTTCATGACGATATACCTGTCATTATATTAATATACTCGTCCTAACAAAGGTCACTTATTATTTTATTTCCTTACTTCTTCCATAGACAATCAAGTCAAACTAAAATGTACAAACATTAATATCATATTAATTGGCCCCAAATCGTACGACTAACAGTTTTCTTACAAAAAGAAACATAATATAATTGCACATTTTCCAAAAATCTATAAGTAGGTACATCACTTGGAAATTATACATAAGTACCTCCTACTCGTATACATTCAAAATCATAACATGTCCAACAAAATTAATTAAAATATAATAGATAGTTAAACTAGCTATTTGTTTATAATTGTGTTGTGTGTTACAATAATCTTTGTTTTATATAATAATAATATGTGCCAATTAATTTATTTTGTGTGATTATAATATAATAGTATATAATATCAGTTTTCCATTTTTAAATTCCCCAAATGTAGGTCAGTCAAATTGTACACTATAACATTTGCGCAACATTGTTGACGCTACGGTGAGTTTTGAGGAATTTTGTAACCTTTGCGACCCATACACCGTGCACCGTAGGTGCATATAGGGAAACGAAAAACATAACCCTTCCATCGTTTATTCGATGGGCTTTGTACAGGTACGTTTCATTAATCTACCGATGACAAACCGCAGTGACTGTACCTACTTTGTCAGTGTTTAGTGTTACGAAACGTTAAAAATTGCAGAGAACCCGTTAATTATAATAATAATAATGAGAAAAAAAAGAAAGAAAGAAAGAAATGAAATGAAATGAATAAAATAATTATTGTGCCACCCAGTCGACCACTGGAACGTATAAGTATTTTGTACACGCCCCGGGGCTATCGTGTAAAATGTATAATATAGTAAGTTACATAGGCGTATAATATAATATTAGGTATAATATTATAATACAGTGCTTTCAAGTTTTCGTCAAAAAATACATACGAATTATGAAATAGTGATTAGAGAAAAATAATTATTTCCGTGCGTAGTCAGAAGATAATATAATACTATTATATTATACGAGCATTTGCATTTGACAGCCGTGTAGATGCCGTGGGCCGTCGTGCAAACTCGTCGATTATTTAATTAATAGAAATGATAAAAATCAATAAAAAACTAATATTATTTTTTCAGCACTTGATGAGTGGATGGTTGTTGGACTACAGCTACAAATGTCAACCGGTCGACTATTCACACAACCCTACTGCACTGAGGGTATGTATATATTATATACCAACGAATATACAGGGCGATTCCCCAAGTATGCTCACCCCCCTTTTTTTTCTTCGGAAATGCAGATAAATCTGATTTTTGGAATATTTGAATGTACGTTAAGTCCACAATAATATCAAATTATAAACTGATCGTTCAAATTTTGAAAGAGATACATCAACATTTTCAAAAAAATTATCCCATAAATATTGCTAAAAAAGTGATATTCATTTGAAAAACAGAAGTTTGTATCAATACACGATATTCCTAAAATATTAGGTACAAAAAATGACAAGAATTTGAATATATTATGGCGTTTAGTACGTGTGTTTAAAAATTCCAGCTTGTTTAGTGAATCACTTTGTACAGTCAATACACAATAGTATATTATTATGATGATGGGCAGTGGCTAACAACACGACATCATTGCAAATATTCGTTACCGATATTGCAAATTGTTTTAGGATTATTCTTTATAAGTTGTAAAATAAGGTTTGTTCGTGATGTAGGTATAGCCAGGTTATTCATATTTGTTTACATAATTATAACGATTACGTACCGATAATTTCGAAATCGAGTAGAGTTCTTCATGTGAAACTGCTGTCCATTGGCACACTGGCATTAAGTGTTTCTAAAATTCTATTCTCATTTCTAAAATGTAAAACCTCCGCAAATAAACATTTTTTTTTGAGTTGTCATGGACATACTCCGCTTCATCAAAGGTGGCTACATTGCAAAACCCCAGGAGGTTTCGTATGTTAAAATTTTATCCGATATTACACACTTTTGGTTATGAAAATTAATTTAATTTAATTATTCGAAACGAGTCCTGCAGATAATCCCAAAGTAACCAATGATGATGCAGACCAAGCTACAATACATTTAATCGAAAATAGATTCAGCTTTCATTAAGTACACGAAATACGAAATGTTGTTATGGTTGATCAAGTCAATATTATTATTTATTACGGCATCACGATACGATATCGGACAAATTTGAACGATTTAATCGATGTTTGAAATTATTATGCAGTCCACACTATAATAATTATACATAATATACACTGATATCAAGTGATTTTCAACATTATTTCATAAATACTGAATTTAGATGAAATCTCATTTTATCTAAGCATAATATACATTGGCAAAAATACGTGGAGGGGGACTTAGCCCCTCCAAATTTCTGCCAAGTTCTACCAGTTAAAATGTTAGTACTTTGCAGTACTAAGCATACATAATTTTTTGAAAATATCACGAGCCCCCCCCCCAAAAAAAAAAATGCAATGTAGGCTACTTATGCCTATGTGATAGTGTAGTATAATATATTTAATATTTATCGACCCGGTCTTGTTTTAGATGGCTAACTTGTGTTGGTGGTACTACATATCCAAACTGACGGAGTTCGTCGACACGGTAAATATTCGAAACGACCATTGCTCGCCGTAGTTATACATTATCACTCTTATTATAATACTCGTGTTTTGTTTCAGGCATTTTTCGTATTGAGGAAAAAGGACAACCAGATCAGCTTACTCCATCTGTACCACCATTCGCTCACACCCATCGAGACGTGGATTTGCGTCAAATTCATTGCCGGTAAACGCGCAACGTTATTCAGTGCTTGTTCGCGCGTTCGAAAGTCATAAAATTCTGTGTGCCGGGGGTACCCACCCAGAAAATGACTCTGACCCAGTTCGAAATCTGCAGGGCTAGTGGGAAATCTCGAAATGCGGGTTCGTTTTAAATACCCCAAGGAATAGCGAGCGTGTAGGTTTCGTACGATCGCGGTCTCCGACAAATATTCCAGTCACGGAATTATAATATAATATAATATGTAGCTATTCACTAAACGCGTATACGTGAATACATGATGAATTTAATTCAATTATAAAATCTAAATTATCGTTACAGCATATAAGTACCTACGTCATTAGCTCGCGATAGTCATTAGTTTTTCCTAATTAATTTATAGCGTCGCCGTGCGCTTATAATACCATGATGTAAGCTACTTAAAAAATATTTTTTTACATTTTTTAAACGTTTTACACGCCATTTCGTAATAAACCCAATTTTTTTTTTTTTTAAACAAACGTTAATACCTACCGTTATAATTTCGACGACCTATTTTATTCTTATATTTTTATCGAACAAAATACAACATAATAATATATACAAATAATAATGATATCTAGGTCATATATTATACTTAAAACCCGAGTTGTAAAAAGTCCATGTAACACTATATTAATAATCAAACAGCAGTAATATTATGTATGTGTTTAATAATGAATGGTTTTTATGTCATTGTTTAGGCGGCCACGGAACATTTTCGAACTTGGTGAATAATATGGTCCACGTGATCATGTACTTTTACTACATGATGTCCGCGATGGGACCTCAATATCAAAAGTACCTCTGGTGGAAGAAGCATTTGACCACCATCCAATTGGTCTGTATTGACACTACGATATAATATTACTTCATAATAATAATTTGTTCAACAGGGACGGATCCAGGAGGAGAAGTAGGGAGGGACTAGGGGCATATGACGTGTGCTTACTACTGGATATTACCCCCCCCCCTCTCCGGATAATTTATCTGGATCCGTGTCTGTCATAATATGGCAATAAATACTAAATATTAAAATGACTGTTTTTTTCTCCAGTCACTAACGACAAAATTGTTTTATTGATGTCCCCATAGCTCCAGTTCACGCTAGTGTTTTTCCATTCAGCCCAAGTGCTGTTCTTCGACTGCGGATATCCAAAACTAGTGGCCGCCCTTCTATTGGTCCACTCAACCATTTTCTTCGCTCTATTTTTCGACTTCTATCAACAGGCGTACAAAAAGAACAAGCTGCTCCAAGCCAAATCGCAGTAAACGTGCAGCCGCATCGGAGCATTACAATGAAACGACTAAAATCCAATAATGACAATGCAAAATATCATCCAATTATTACAAAAGTAATTTTTAAGAAAATAATCGTCGTGTTTCAACTGCACTGCGAGCTGCAGCTGTAACTGATGGATCGTTAATTATTATGCGCTGTGTGTCCAACTGCAGCTAATTTGTATTATATATATTTTTGTACTTGTAAAATATTAGTGACCTATTTAAGTTGTTCCCAAAAAGTAATATATAAGTAAACAATGTACACGTTGGTTCGTTGACCGATTGCGGCAATCAAACCTGTCCATTGATAATATGTTAAGTTAAATATAATTAAAATAATCAAAAACTAGTGATAATTTTTTTTTCAACTATAAATTGATTTGCGCTCATTAAACTATAAATTAGTAGTTATAATACTACTATAATAATTATATTATACTATATATAGATACAATATCATGCAATTATAAATTTACTATATTATAATAATGCGAGCGAATAGACGTTATATTATAACTTGACATTTATAAATGATTAAATGAGACTTCATGTTTATATTCAATGACAATTTTATTTTTAACAAATAAATGATACGCCTAAAACAGGTACCTATAATACTAGATGTCCATAATATCGTTTTTGTTTTAAAGGAAGGAAGAATAATCATAATATTTTATTTCTAATTGATGTTTCTTAAAAATCATTCAATTTTAGAGAAAAATTTGTTTAATATAACTTCTATATAATGGCATGTAATCAAAACCATTTAAGAATGTATACTGCACGTTTCTAAAATCTCAAAATGTTGATATCAACGTCCATCGTCCACTTAGGTCATAGAAATATGACCGTTATTTAAACGAATGTATGCAAAACATAATACACCTATGTACATGAAACGCGCGGTATACTAAGGCGTATTATTAAACATAATATAATATAAGCAAATCGAAGTATCGTACTATAGGACGTTACCAAAGATTATGTTGAATAAATGTATAATATTTTTAGAAAATGTAAAACGGTAAATTATTAAAAAAAAATCTTAATACTTATTCAATTAAGTTTAAAGGTTGTTTATATCAATGAATTATTATAAAAATATAACAACATTCGTTGCTAAATATTAATACAATTATTCAGAAACATTTAGAAATGTTTTAACACATTTTTTGTGATGATGAACGTTTCATCAAATCATCCATCGATAATATTAATATAATAATTTGGGAAAAGAACTAAGAGGATTAAGTGGCCAGTGTGGCCGTACGGGTAAAGTGACCATTTGAGTTTTCTTCACTATGTAGGTCGGCAATCATGCGGGCTTAGTTGTTGATGCAACTCAAGTTATCACTGTTATCAGTCACATTATTTTTGAACAGGAAGTTAAGAGAGTTCGTGTTCTAACATAATTTTTTCGATTTTTTGACTTGCCAATTTTGTGGAATTGATGAATACTTTTGATTATAGATAAATAATTATTTTGGTTTTATTTATTCGATTTAGTGTTGTTGGATCAGAAACTTCTAAGCTTTCAAACGATGATTGTTTGAATATGTTTAGCCTCGTATATCCTAGACTATAGTTTTTTTAATGACAGAGTGACCACCCAGGGCACTTTTCCCGACAAATATGTTTCTATTTGCTGTATACTTGGGTAATATATAAATGTTATTCAAACCATTTTTAGTAATCAATTGGATATTAAAATATTGTAATTTGAGTCAAGCAATAGGCTTAATAATATCTTTATAGGGTTTGGCCAGTTTACCCGACTAATGTGTGTAAAGTGGCCACTTTGTAATTTTTTTTACACAGAACATTTGTAATATTCAAATATAATATTATTAAAACCAAACAATAATTTGCAAAAAAATAAACAATTAACAAACCTAATCTGGGAGTGGCCGCTTTATCCACCCACCCCCTACCTCATAATTATTATAATAATACATTTTGTACCAAGTATTTTTTATAAATAATTTATGTATATTATGCATAAGTAATTTAATAATTAGTTGATAAGCTTACAACAAATAATGTTTGATTCTTTGATTGTATATATTATATAAATAACTAACCAGTTATTGTGAATCATCGATTTCTGTGGATCAGTAGAAATAAAAACAATTTTTCTTAATATTATATTGTAGTGAAAACGAAAATAATAATTAAAATATCTTGCTAATATCCACTTCGAAAAGTATGTAGATTTACGTATCCGAACTATATAATCTATATTATTACTAGCTAAGTTATAAGGTAGGTACCTATATTATTTTAAGCATATCAATTATTTTTGTAATAATAATTGATACTCATTTACATTTAATTTGAAAAAATATTATCATGATTAATTTAAAAAGGTGAAAAGAACTTAATAACAATATTTTTGGGTTATAAAATCGAAGATACCTATTTAGAGCAGATGGTTGTTTTGAAGACAGCATTTCTTTTATTATTATTACAAAATATAATTGAAACAATTTTCAATAATTTTATCCTTGACTCTTTGCCCAGAAATATCCGTAAAGTATATATAATTAGGTGCTGTATGTGTTGAAAAAAACAAAAAAACATTTTAACATATATCTTACAAAAATTTGGGCACTTGTTTTTTATAGAGTCCTACCAAAAACGTTTGTATTTCCTTCGGTACGAAAAAATCTGTTGAATTATTTTAACTCTTTGAGGGGCCGTGGTTAGTATGCTAACCACTTTTTTTTTACCGTTCAGGTGCGGTGGTTACTATTTTAACCACTTTTAAAATTATTTTTAATATTTTTTGATGGCGGTCAGCATACCAACAACCTTATTATCATATTATACATGCATTGAACAATATCACTGCCGCTGGTCTGATATCATTTCCCGCGTTTTTCATCATTTATTATCATTATCAATATTTTGATATACGTACTAAATGTTATGGTAAAGAGACATATTGCCCACATGGGTTTTTTTTTCCAAAGGAAATTTTCGCCCCTCAAAGAGTTAAGACATTAGAAATAAATTGTGTTCTATTTTACTCTATGTGTTAAAACATTGTTTATTATGCCGTATTTTGACTAACTATGAAAGTAATATTATCTGTAGACTGTTGTAACCAATGGCAATCATTTAAATAAACAAAATATTTGATTTTCGTGGGTTAAAACTAAATTCATAATTTATTATGTGAGACACCCTTTAACACCCATAGCGGTTGAAAAGATAAGCTATACAATACATACCACAAAATTATGTACAATGATTAATCTTAAAATGGAGGCGATCGTGCAGCCTTAAAAATCACTCTCCCTGTCTCTCCCTGTAAATCAATATAATATTAAAACATTATGAAATACATTATAATATGTGTGCTTGTGGTTTATAGACTTCAAAAAACTATAGTTTGACCAATGTTGACGAGTTCAGAGATTGTCTGATTGTATTAAGAGAAACAAGGAAAACTCAAAGAGTAGTTTGATAGTTTGAAGTTTGAACCACGTCTTGTCGGTTGCTCTTTATACATGCTTTTTTAAAAAAAATGTTGTTGATTACATGCCATATATAATATACTATACTACAATATTATATTATAAATGTTCTATTGTTGTACTAACAATAATTCGCACAAGCCGTATTGTTAAAGCCGATTAGCTCATCGCACATGTCAAATTTGTGAGTGACAGGTGGCTCACTTTGTCCACAATAAGGGAGGTACACTGACACCGACATGTCCGGGACCTGAAGTACGCCAAGACACAGTGATTGTCGTATTTTATGATTTGTCATTACTTCCCGGAAGAAGTATGGTAATACAGCAATTTATAACGTATAATTATAATTTGCAACCTTGCAGATAGTGTAGGTACATACGGATATACGAAATAATAATACGGATAATAGACCGTAAATGCAGAAATCCATCTATTTATCATGTAAATAAACTCAATGATCAATTATAGGCAGATCTTAGGTGTGTATAATACGGATATTCCTACCTGGGTAGGTGCATGTTTAGTTTTTATTTGACTGGTAATTAACTAACCTGCAACATGAATAATTTTCTAAAAAAACAAAACCATACAATTATGTTTAATTTAATCAAAAACTAGACAATTCAATTTAGCTTAATCAAAAACTATAAAATCCAATTTAATCTAATCAAAAACCGTAAGACTTATGCTCATGTAGAATAGTACCTACTATAAAATGATTGGTCCAAAATCAATAAAAAAAAAAAATGTAAAAGAAAAAAAACGATTACTAGCTATAGTACATATTTTATTTTTTTTAACATAACTTTTATTTACGCCATCCGTTACATGGCACTTAAAAGTTTAAGCCCATAACTACATCAAGCATTATCCATACAATAAAAATATTATATCAGTTAAGTGAAATGACATAATGATAAAGGACCTCTCAGTGGAGGTACTTTATCATGAAATAAACAATCAATAATACAATAAGAGATATTGGAATTTCAAAATCAGTTTCACACTTCACTTTTATAACTACTTATTATACCTATTAATTCGTATTCGTTGCATAATAATATTATAATATATTACGTCCCAATACTGTTTGGGAATAATATATTATATATGACCAGAATTCATTAGTTTTTTGTGAAAAAAAAATACAAGTGATATAACTCAACATTAGCTGATCCCGCTCAATTCGTTGACCGTAAAAAGTTACAACTTTAAAAAAAATTGTCATCGTTCAACGTTCCTTTTGGATGCAACTCGGTCTACCTGGTAGGCAATCCGACTACGTCGAATAGCTTAAAATGTGTGACAGCATATCAAGTAGGCAATGTGTGGAAATTTGATTTGACCCTTGCACCAATTGGCAACCAAATAATAAATACTAATTTCTACTAATCATTTCTCCTATATAACCAATAGCAACCATTTATAAACAAAATCCCCGTTTGAGAACATCCCCGGATTGGACCTAAGAGTGTGAAAAATACTTTACGACCTATTCTCATACCAGCTACGAAAAAATTTCATTAAAATCGGTATAGCCGTTTCGGAGGAGTGCGACCACAAACACTGGGAAACGAAATTATTCTGTAATATTATATTGTGTACCCCGCCACGTCATGGTATAGACCGCAAGTAATAATTTTTGGAACGATTGTCTCTGATGTAAACACATTTCTTGGGATAATGACAGGCCAACGTTTTTGAACACCATCATATAGTTTCGTATTTTTTACTTTATTTTCTATATTTCATTCGTTGAAGGTCTCGACGAAAATACGTTGTTGTTTCAAAGCCCATGGAAATATCGTAAAAATACTTACACAAGGTTATGCGCATCTTCAAACCTTAGTCGTAAAAACTACAAAATATAATGTTTCGGTAGTGCAGACTTCGGCTAACGTCACGTAGGTACTCGTCGTGTCCAATTAAGCACCATACATTATCCTGGCAATTTATAAAACGCACATAGGTACACAATACATCTCATACATATATTATATTATTATATTATTGTTATATTACAATACAATATTATTTTAACCGTATAGGTATTTAAATACACATCATTTGTGGCGTATAACGTAATAATATATGTAAAACTAAAAAATTATACATCGTGTGTTCATAATATTATGCAACTATCTTTTTGATGTTTAACCATCATCGTCAATCAACGACCGTACCCACTTGTCTCTATGAACTCAAAAAACAACGCATAATTTTCAGCTATAGGTGTTTCCGATAAATATTGCTATAAGACTAATATTAATAACATTCACTGGAATGAGCACGGCCGAGCCGAAAATATAATTAACAAGACTATATTCTATTGTATCATTGGAGATTTTTCATATTTCTTATATGATCCTGCATGATGTCCCGAAGTCTGAACTTTTGAATTTTGCCAGAGACGGTTTTCGGAAAGTCGTCCATGATCAAAACGTGGTTCGGAACTTTAAATCTGGCGATCTGTAACAGCGTCAAGAGATATTATACAAATTCGTTTCATATTCTGTTCGACGTCGTAATAATAGAAAACAATAAACATCACTCACGTTGCCGTTGCAATAATTTTTTACGGTTTCTTCGTCAACGGTGGATCCTTTTGTAATCTTTATAGCGGCACACACTACTTCGCCGAGTCTGTCGTCTGGTATTCCAAACACCTTTTTTACGAGTAGGTACAACGAGGTCATTAAAAAATAAAACTCGGGTTTTCGATACGAACCTGTGCTTGGATGATTTCCGGATGAGACTCCAAGAAGTACTCGATGGCCTGCGGTTGTATGTTTTCGCCGCCTCTGATTATGATGTCTTTAATCCTGCCGGTGACCACGCCGTAACCGTCTTCGTTCAAAATTAAAATGTCACTAGACACGGAAAATATTTTCTGTCATACAGCGAAATGATTGAAATGTCTATAATGCATTTAGGTACCCAGATTTAAGCCAACCGTCGTCTATTGCCTTCTTCGTCATTTCCTCGTCGTTCCAGTAGCCGGGCATGACGTTGTAGCCCTTAAACCAAACCTCCCCTGGTCTGCCCAGAGGCACAGTGATCCCATTTTTGTCCACGACTTTAACCTGAAAATAATGTATAGCAATCCAGGTACACTGTAATATTATATTACAACTATAGATAGGCTGACGTATATAACTACCCGATTTCGCCTGGGAAAAATTGTACAAACTAAAAAATACGGCTTTATAATCGGAGTATCCCGATATAGGTGTACCTACCTCAGTTCAGATATTATAGCTCTTTGTGTATATTTCGAATTTTGGAAAATCCTTTTGTAAGTGCACCACTATACAATATAAGGTGGTGCGAAGGTACTGTCAAAATGTCAAGTCCTTGACTAGCGTATTCTAGACACTAGGTTGATCAGTCAGTCAGGATAAGTTCGATTATAGGTATAATATTACATTATTGAGATTAAATATAATTCGTATAGGTATATTGAAACGCTTCAAAAATAAATATTATATTTGCCGAAAAGTTTTGTGACTTCCACAATTTTAGCGTTTTAATATTATTTTAAGGGTTCACTACGATAACACGTCTGTTAATAATATGGTATTTTTTTTTGTATACATGTGATGATAAAACGAAAAAATGAATTGGCCGGCGCTTTGATTAGTCAACCTTGCACCACAACCATACCTATGTACGATTTGTCTATAATCATAACATTTAAGGAGTACGATATAAAATGTAAAAATGTACCAAAATTTAACTCGACTGCGCTGTATAATAATATTATATAGTTTATTAATAATAGTCATCAATTGGTCCGGGGCTGTACGTATCTAATGACATTACTCAAAAATCGATTAAAATTCGTAAATAAATTGTGATAAGCAGTGATGAGTTACAAAATATCTCATCATACAAAATACCATCGTGCAAAACCATCATACAAAATACCTATGCACAATATTTAACTACTTGGCACACATTCTTTTCGTTTGCACAATATTGTAGACGATAATGAGCATGTCCCCATGGCTGTTTGGTATTTCTATTTTGTATTGGAATATAATATTATACTTTGTTACTTGTGTGTATTTTGCATAGCTAGATTTTGGTTGATTAAGTACATAGATAATATTATGCAATCCATTCGCCACGACATTTATATGGAACTGTTTGTATATAAATTGTAATCAAACAATATAAAATGCGTCTATAACTGATCCTGCAAAGATTGAAATGAAATAATGCCAGTAGATTTACCCCGTCTTGAATTTCGTTAAGTGTAAGCTACACACGAATTATTAACACAGTAATTTGGGTGGTTTTGACCAAGTACAGGTCTAAAATGATATCGTGATAACTATAAGCTAGGTATTTTAGTTCCGATTTAAACGATGGCAATCATCATGTACGAATGAAAAAAAAAATCGTTTTTTTGCGACCCGTCAAATCCCTATATCTAATCCTCTCGTTAAAAATTGCAAAATTTAAGAAAAAAAAATGGCTTCGAGGTGGACATCCTCGGTCATATCTTATAAGTTATAGGGTTACCTATATATGAACCAAATTTCAGAACCACGATTGCTGCGATAGACTTGGCTGTGGATCGCTTATAACATACAAACACACACAAAAACATTGCATTTTATTACTATACTATAATCTATAGTAATTATCTAGGGTATAATATAAAAGTTGGAGAAATCTGAGTGAAACCTTGACAAATTGATGAAACAGTCACGAAACGCGTCGTAAAACGAATTTTAGCTTATAATATAAAAAAAAAAAAGAATAATACTGCAGTAGCTTCATTCCATTCATATTCTGAGTCCTACAGTCTTTTATATTGAGCATGGTGCAAATTCGGTGAATCATACCAGAAATGCACCTCGTTAAAAAAATAAAATAGGTATAGTAAATCGTTCGTACCTGTCAATGTCGACCCGGCTTCGCGATCGACTCAAGATAACGGAAGCCGGAAGCTTGTATATTAAAACATGTTAGGAATATGTAAATTTTTTTAATTTTACATTAGATCATAATATTAATTGTGAATAGAGACCACCGCCCTATTGGATATTAATCGAATGTTTGCTAAAATTATCTGATTTTTAAATGTCTACAATCTACATTAAAAAATGTACTGAAATAATTGTTTGTGGGTAGGTATATTACATGCAAACGAAAATTCGACGGCATAATTTAGGTATTATAATTACCTACAATTTACTACTAACTATAGGCTCTTGCAACCAATGAAATATAGGTACCTACCTGAAAAACAATATTTTGAATTTTACTTATCTATTTATATTGGCAAAATCAAAAGTTCAGCACAATATTATCATGGACCGTATCTTAAGGATTTTTATGACATCAAATGCACAGCTCTGTTCGTTACAATATCATATTATTATTAGCTTAATATGCGTATTATTTATAAGCCGAACTCGATATTATTGACCTCTTACTGCAGTTGTGAGTCGACGAATCTATTAAGTACACATATTTTATTATGAGAAGAAAAAACTGCCGAAATCATTAAAACGAATTAAGAGATATAAACACTGTTCTACATTAGCTTGATATTATGATATCTATTTTCCTTGCGTGAACACCCGTCTCGAGATGAACAACAAATACCTATATATGCTGATCTGCGATCGCTGATAAAATATATAGCACTTAATATTATTATCTAAACGTATTTTTCGTGTACAACTTACTTCGGAGTGATCGAGCACTTGACCAACTGTAGTTAACGACGTGTGCTCAGACTCGACGGCATTCGAGACGAACACTATGGGACTGGCTTCTGTCATGCCGTAGATCGACTGAAATCAAACGTGGCCGTCCGTTAATGACATTCAAATAATATTTTAATATTTTAATTTTTTTTTTTTTTAAAAGAATATTTACAGTCTATACAATAGACGAGGTATAATGAGTAAGTGTGGTGACACAGGAACATTAGACATAAATAACATAATAGCAGCAGTGCCACCTGACCAGAAATAATATATTTTAAAATTCAAACCAAAATCAAAACGTTTTACCCTCGTTATCGTAATGAATAACAAATTCCTGCACTTCCTCCATATAGAAATTATATACCTAGCATTTATAATACTGTTATCATATTATTATATTAATTATTGTATACAATTGCACAGATACCGTGTAGGTATAAACCTGTTCTTAAACCGTCGAGCTAAATCTAATCTCTGAGTATATCAATTTTAACCACACTTTAGGTACACGCGTAGGCACCTGAAGCAACCTGCACGATTGCAAAATTGAAAATACGTCCGATTATGTTTTAATTCCAAGGACATTTTAACGATAACGCATAATATTTTCATGGCTCGCCGTGTAAAGTGCTTGTTCTTTTAATAATAATCATTATTATTTTTTGATGGCGGATCCGCGTATGTTACACTGAAATCTAAACCATCACGATTTATCCTGTAACTGCTGCATTTTTTTTTTTATTACACGTGGTTTCAATTTTTAAAATAATATTCCATCATAATTTGTTGTGAAGAAAAATAATGGTTATTTTTAAATGTCTATGTAAAACATAACATTATAGAATAAAATATAATTATGGCTTTTATTTAACATACTTATATTATATGCTTTCGTTAGATTACCCTCATTTTCCTCATTGATTAGTCCAATTATTTACTCCGTGCAGTTATTTTATTCTTGTATAAATTAGTTAAGCAATAGCTAATTATTAAATTATTAATCATCAGATTTATAATCATATACCTATGGTGGAAAATAGTCGAGTCAACAAAAAAATTCATCGAATGTTTGTTCCATAAGAAATTTCCAAACCCAACTGTCCATATTTCATTTTATTGTGAACGTTTAAGTACCTATTACTCTTTGACATCTTTATCATACAAAATATATTTCCAATAGCATAAAAATAGATTTAATAATAAATATGAACGATTGCAATAAATTTGTATTATTGTGGTAGCAAAAAAAAATTATACCTAGGTACTAAAAATGAAAATAATTGCTAATATTACAACATATCTACCTATGATAGTTAAAATGTTATTATCGATTGCCATATGTTTTTTTAATTCTTCGCAGTTGACGAAAGACAATTTATGAAAGTCAAAATTGCACACACCTGTATCAGTACCTATATATTGTTTAACCTACTAACAGCCTTGGCTATATTTATTTTCGGAATTTTAGACGCTTTGCTCAAAGGTTCTCTTCCCTGGAGAAATCCTGCTTAATACGTAATAACTAGGACTTATAGCTCTAAAAATTACCAAATATGCATTTTTAAATGAATATTTTTGAATACAAAATAAGCATTTTTCCTGTAAATACCTTATACCTATTGTTTTAATGAATATATATTTTATTTAAATTCTAAGTACAACTTACCTACACGTTACAATAAATATTGAACTATCATAATTTATAGGTTTCAGATACTTCTTCAATTTAAATGTTTCTCAACTTCTAAACAATAATTGGTAAATTTTTTGGTTTCAAATGTTTAACTCTCAAGACGTGTTTCTAGGAAAAACATGTGTCTGGGAACTACAGTCAACAACCATATATTAATATTATGAATCAAATTTTAATAATTTTAAATTCTATGTTATTTCGGTTGTACAAATAATAATAAAACTTCGACCAAAAATTATTGATAAAAGTATACAATTATTTAAATATTTAAGAAATATGCTCTATAAACTAAAAAACACACAAATATGCATCTATAGCAAATAAAATTTCAAAAGTATAGCTTTGTGAAAGCATTAAACTTATTTGTTTCGTACACTCTAATATTTTTGTGACTGTGCGAAAAAAATATGCAAATGCTACAAGTCCTCTGCCCTAGTAATAACTAATTAATAATTTTATTATATTCAGACTATGTAGTAGACTATTATAGTATTATATGTACCTAATCATACGATTTAAAGTACCGTATTGGTTGATTAATATGCTGTAGAGCTGATTAATCAACTGCAAAATAAAGATCTTCTTATCTTACAGAACTCTAAGGGAATTATATAGTTTTTATCGAATTTGAGAATCCTGCTAATGACTACTATTCGTACTTGTTACATAAATTCCAGATAAGGACTGACAACAGGTCATTGACCAACCATTTCACTCTGATAAACAAATTGGTTTATTGCAATTCTATTAACTGTACACAATATACCATTCTTAACGTTGAATTTCCTCGGTGGCTCAAAAAGTTTTTTTTTTTTAATGTGCTTAAGGGCGACCTTTCATCAAACCTGTAAAAATAATCCTGTGAAAACCTTTGCCCGTCGCTAATGCGTGTATCACTAGGTATATATGCTATCATAAGTGCGCCATGTAATTAAATTTAAATAAAAAGCTGAAACCAGACAGACGTATTTTTAAATAACCTAGTTAATTATTAAACGCATGATCTTATAACGCTGCGAGTTTATCCGATAACAGTTAATACCAATGAACAATTTTCGTAGGTTGTGTACCTACAAGTACAGTCATAAAAATATTTTTTAAACTAATTATATTGCGTATTTTCAATTACTGGTTTAATTACTATTTAAATGCTCGTTGCTTATGTCCGATTATCAATACCGATATTTTTTAAAGGTTATTTCGATACTCGCTCGGTATTAATTATGACGAGATGAACTGCCATTTGTTATAAACTCAGTCAGGACTTTTCAGGCAGTACAATTTGGATATTTAAGGGGCCTGTTGCCGGTTTTTGAATTTTCAGCAGTTCTAAAAAATTTTAAAATTTTATTTTGTATTTTAGTTGCCATCTAATAGACATGATTCCAAAAACTATAATTTGGCGGAAATGATTAATTTAATACTTTTCCACTTATCTACTGACCGATACCTATTAAGGGGGTAAAAATGACTTAGGTAATTCTCAAGCCTTGTAGAATTGTCGTATTTTGATAACAATTATTTTATAGAAAGAAAACTCCGATTATTTATTTAATTTAAAATAAAGGTATAGGTACCTATTATTTAATTTGTAAAAAAAATTCTAAATTATATTGTTTTTAAGACGTACTATAATGTTTGAGATTAAAATAATGAAAAGGGGAGTTCAATGTGGACTGTAGAATATTATCCACTATATTAGTTTAAAAAAAAGTATCAAATTTTATTGATTCTAGTATTCTACGGAACAGAATCATTATTCTTGTAGAGCGTACCTATTTTTGTACACATCACCCGATGCCTTAAGTATAGTTGGTCTCCAATTGTTGATGGACATATATAATTAAGATATGATTATTAGGATTTGAAAATCGCTTTTAGTTTTTATTAGATGAAGACAGGTAGGTATAAGTACAATATTTAGTGCCTACGCATTAAATCGGTTCGTCTTAGGTTTCTAAATATGAGTAGGTAAGTAATAACATATATCCCCTTTATGTCCGTCCGTTGCAGGTTACCAGTGTATAGTTCCCATCATGATACACATAAATAAATATTTTAATGAAAAATAAATAAATAATTATAAAACGGTTCTGTTCAAAGAAAATTCATACCAGCCAGTATTAAAAAAAACATTAAAATATGAGTATTTAATGTAGACTCATACTAGCCAACATCAAAAAATAGGCACGGGTACCAAAATACTATAAACGTTACAAAATTCTTTTAAAATAAAATTGTACACAGTGGCGTATAGGGGGGAGGCCCCCTAGGCCAGGGCCCATACTGAAATTGCAGGTTCAATTAAAGCATTTCATGTATATCTACATTCTACACTGCTTACAGTTTTTCACCATGATTAATTTAGCCGGTTGATTAAAATCGTTTTTGAGAAATCCACAAGGAAATGATTGTCAGGACTTGCTTTGATGACTTTGATGTTAAATTCACAGTTAGATAACATAAAAAAATATATGTATATGAAATTGTCAATATTTTTTAAAAAAGAATTAAAAAATTAATTTTACATAATTATAAAATGAAATTGCTCAATTTTTATTTATATTGTATATGTCGTAATTATAACCACCCAGCTCCCTAAAATACGTATATATTGACAAAATTGGCCCATAGTGAAAATATTTTGTATATACGCCACTGATTGTACACGTAACATTACAGTTTATTGCGTTGTATTCAAATACGTTTGGAAACTGAGAATATAATAGCTATATTTAGCAGTGAGCTTTCCTAACTTGTGTACTATTATATTATTATACGTAATTACTTAATCGGTGCAAACATATTATTATCGGATCGGAATTTATGATCGACCTTTTCAGTGCCTACAAGTACTACTGATCCCGGGCAGAGTTTATTATTATTTAGGCACACTTGTCCGTTGATTACTATTATCGTGCAACTATATCTAATGTTATAACAAACAACACCTAAAAACAAAGAGATAGGTAGTTGATTTTTCTGACATTTTACTTGTAGGTACTGATGCTTGATTAATGAAAATTGTCAACAACAAAAATATACGCTTTATCTATGTAATTGTTTAGGTTTTTATCTCTATAGTAGTTGTAGATTGTACCTATATTAAACATCTATGATACGTTCACAATAGAAAATTAACAGGTGAATATAAATCGGTGGTATTAGCTACCTGTATAATTACTAGTAGGAACTGCTAACTACTAACGACTACCATAGTCATATAATATTTCCTTGGATTAATATCAGCTATTTCTAGGATAATTGCAATGTTTATATGTATTATTAATTGTACTTTTGTAATCAATAATATTAATATATAGCTGTTATAATCATGATAAGTAGTTATTCCTCGCAAATTTAAAATATTCTACGGTTTATTATTTATTTTATCACGAAACGTGATTTATTTTCTACCACATAGGTATATTAGAAAATATTACTTTTAATTCTATTACCCTAACCTCAATTCAAACACTGGCCCTATGATCTGGCACTTAGACAGTTACAAAATGTCCGGACGCATCCGGTACCCCCCTGTGCTCAAGCCTATAATTTGACGGAATAATACGCGTTTTGCGCGAATAAAATTGTAATTTTGACATTTTTTTTTTCTAACTAGCTGGTTATGCTTGAACGTCAAGGGTCATTACACTAGTACACTGCTTAGGTGGTAAATACATATTTTATGAGTACGTAACACAAAAAATAATAATATTTACATTATCTACAATTATTTATTGTTTATCCAATTGAAAAATATATAAATTGTATTATGACATTATAATATTATACTTATCGCGTAATACAATATTATGGTATATTATGTTATGATAATAATAAATATATATAATACACGTGTGTTTACTATAATATGTGTTCGTATGCGTATAATAGTAAACAACTATGAGAAACGTACCTACCAAGTTGCAATTATGTAACCTGCACTAACCGCTGCATAGATCAACCACGAGCGTACAGGACTTCTATGTCAGTTGAATTTAATTACCTATGCGCGATATTATTATTATTATGATATAGGTACCTAATATTATATTCGCATGCAAACATGCTGCTGCAGTGCACGTGGCCGTGAGATGGATAATTTAAGTCTAAATAGACGCTGTTGCGAAAATTCGATATTTCCAAATTCTATCTTTAAACCATAATATAATATTATTTTACAACACCGCTCGTGAGGAGCTAGAATACGCCTATTCTCGAATACGTTATACAATATTTTCCCTTTCTGCAGATCGGTTATTATACTATTATCGTATTATATTTCACCTCTTCGTTTTCGTAGCGTAAAGGTATGCGATTGAATAATAACTGCAAATTTAAATTTTCGCTTGACCTATAATATTATTATTATTATGGTTTTAGTCTCCTTAATGAGTGCTGTGGGACCTATCGGTTTTCACACTACGATTATTATTTAATCAGATATTCGTGACGAAATCGTTGCAAAAGATACACCAGACCAAACGCATTCAAATGGTATATACCTAGGTATCTACGCTGCTGCGTGCACGCAAGCGCAGATCGTTATTTTTTTTCCACACATAATCTAATAAAATAATATATTACCGCGAGTCTTTTGAGATTGAATGTGGTTTTAATTTGTTTGAATAAATTGGGTGAACACAGCGCTCCTGCGCATAGCCCAATTTCAGGAGTAGTAAACGTAAGCCCTTCATCAAATAGTTCCTTGGAAGCACTTATCATATCAATGTACATTGTTGGTGTCCCGTACAATATTGTACACCTAAATCAACATATTATTATGATACACTACAAAATATATACCTATTTTGTTATCCGACATTATGTACAATTGTTACAACAGGTAGTTTACGATGAAACGATTTCGCACTCGTCTTTAAACACTTTTTTAGTATTTACCACAGATATAAAATACTATATTTATATTTATATCTGTGGTATTTACTAACCTATATGGTTATGAGATACCTGAAAAAAATATCGGTTACCTATAATCAATGAAACTAATGTATGTACGTTGTACACTGTATGATGATATTTCCTCAAACATCTAATTAACATAATATGCGTATTATAAAGACTTAATTATAAGTATTATATAATTTTTTTGTCATGAATAATAATGAATTAGACACGCGTAAGTACCTACATTGTAATTAAAATGTCTATACTGTTTTTTTTTTTAAAATAATATATTATAATTTATTTTATCAGCAAATCAATAGTTCATTATAATAATAATATTACGTTCGTTTAGCAATACTTACTTTTCGGAGATGATGGCCTTAGCAGACTCGATAGGTTTGTAACCAAAGGCTGGCAGTATCAATGCGCTGCCACTATTTAAACTTGCCATGATACCGACTACAGTTCCAAAAGTGTGAAAGAACGGAACTTGCAACAATATTCGGTGTTCCTATTTCAAATTAATATTATAATATTACCAATAATATATATAGGCAAGTGGTTATTTCTAAGTAAATAATTCGAATATAGATAAAGACTACTTAATACTTAAAGACCAATTATTTTAAAATAGTTATAGATTTTATATGCCATTTATTAGGAATGGTGTCCTGTGATCTTTTTACGAACAGGAACGGCCCTTGTTTACTGTAATAATAGTTAAGCACATGATTTTTTTGAAAATGTTAGTATGTATAAATGGAAATTCAAACAATAGTAATTTCTGAGTAATTGAAATTTGTATCCTATAAGGATAATGATAATATAGATTTGGAAGATATGAAGGGGAGGGGAGTTTTAATGAGTCGAACATTTTATAGTTAACTAATATTCACTCACAAACATTTTATCATTAGAGTAGAACAAGCACTAGCCTAAATATTACATAAAATATTATATTTTTTATTTTTAACCATTATTAATAGGAGTCACATATCCTTGGTTCACAAAGTTTGATGGCTTGGAAACTGTTCGTTCAAATTTTGATTTGAGTACCTACGTGATGAGATTATCATAAAAAAAATCTAATATTTGAAATGTTACGATTATCACGATAATAACCCTTTGAAATCAGGGTTGTCCAACAATAATTATTAGGTAGGTACCTTTTCCATCAGGAGCATCCTCTTGCTGTAGAAATACGCGTTGTTCACGATATTGTTATGAGTCAGACACGCTCCCTTCGGAGCACCAGTTGTCCCCTGTAATATTTATTATTTATTTATTTATTATTGTTAATAAATTATGAAAACCTGCAGTGTCTGCACATTGTTACAACAGCTGCAGCCGTCGTTGTTGTCATAAAAATACAATGTTATAATATTTTGTGAAAACAAAAAAATAACATTCCGCGAAAAAGATTTTCTCACCGAAGTAAATTGTATGTTGCAAATCGCATGAGGATTCAGTTCGCGATTAATTTTTTTCAAGTATGACGTTGATTTTATCGTGCCCGATTGGCACACATCCCAGTATTTAATGACTCCGCTAGAATATAGGACAGGCACGGTGATTTAATCTAACAAACTTCGTTTCGTCGACAACTTACGGTAGGTTCTTCTCTGTGTTCATCACTATAAACTCCAAATTCGGCAAGTGTCTCGTGGTAACCGGTTTACCATAAGGTTGCTGGGCGATTTCCGGAATCATACTTTTCAGCAGCTCGTAATACTTTTGGTTCGGGGGAAATTCGAGGGCGATCAGCATTTTCCCGTCGACTTTGCTTAGACAATGGTGGAGTTCGTTTTTCATGTACAGTGGATTTATGTTTACCTGTGAGTCGAAAACGAAATACCAACTAATCTCATCGTCGCTCTAAAGTAAGTTATCGCCCTATTCAAGTGGGTATACAAAGGTTGGTAATCAAACTCACCGTAATTAGTCCGGCTTTAATCGACGCTAATAGTGTGATTTCCCATTCTACCGAATTCGAACCCATCAAACATAACCGATCACCTGGTTTCATGCCGATTTCCAAAAGACCGGCGGCTAACTCGTCTACCTTGTTTGTGGTATAAACACAAATTTTATCATATTATTATATATTAGATTATTATTATGTTGATCTCTTGTTGCCGAAATATTCATTTTTACAACCTCATGCTTAAGATCCGAGAATGTGATTTTTCGGTTTTGATGTACAGAAACTATAGCTTCTCTGTTCGGGTATTTTTCTGCTGCCTCGTCGATCAAATGTCCAACGGTCATATATTTCAGAGCTTCATGTTTAGGCCCTTTATAGTAACTCGGTTTAGCAGTCGACCTGCAGATAATCATTCAATTTTTAAAATATAAAATATTCCGAGATTATTGATTTTTAACAATAATATTATCAGTGGCAGTCAAATGGTTTTGACAGGAGGGAGGGGGCTGATTTTTTTACTTTCACTATTTGATAACATATAATTTATGCCTTTTTAATAATATAATAATTATTTAATAATTTATGGTTATAAAATCTTAAAGTTTAAACATTGTAAAAAAAGGTCATGGGGAGCTCTATCCCTCCTCATTCTCCTACCCGTTTGACCATCACTGATACAACACTACAGTACAAATTATAAGTAAATTGGTACACTATATAATATGGTATAGACATATTGTGCAGTAATAAAAGTGCCATAAATTCATAGTCCAAAAAACTATATTATTAAATATACGACGACCAAAAATAATAATACAACCAAACATTTTTTGGACCAATACAGTTTCAAAATTGACAATTTAAAATATTGAACTATGAAAACATAATATTATTCTACATATTATATAGCTAAACAAATATAAAAGTAGGTACGTATAATATTATAAGTAAATTTGTTTTTCATTGTTTTAAATATTTGTTAATGAATAGTATACAGTTGCAATTTATACTGCCTAATATTATATAAGATTGACTTTAAAAATCGTCCTTCAAAACAAGGACTGTATAATATTATTTGGAGGTAAAAAAATTAATAATAATAAAATGAAGCACGTAATGAATTAATTCGTACGAAAAGTTATAAAATGTTCATACGACTAAAATACAACATAGGTACTACGGTAAATATTATACGGCCATTAGGGTAAAACACATATCATATTTTAATGGATCATCGGATCACCTTATACAGATAACACATAATATTATCATAATCTTAGTAAAGCGTACTAGCTATGTAATATAACCTTCGTAAAAGTTTTAAACTAAATTAAACTAAAAATATGATCGATGACATCGTTTGTCTTTTCAAGGATTTAAAATAACACAGAGGTATTATAATAATGATACAATAATAATAATAATAATATTTTGTTAACGGTCACAATATGAATCCTAAAAATGTCGTTTAGACCTTAGAGTAGGCTCCTTCAGTCCTTCCTGTATACCTACTAACATCACAACTCACAAATAATAAATTTCTCGCAACGTTTCATCAAACTTAATTAATTTCGCAGTATTCACAAACAACAATGATACGTGACATAAGACCATTAAGCATAAATCATACCGTAGTAGATTTACATAGAACCATATTTGTCTTGTTTTTGGCTGAATGGTTCCGAGGAAGTCGTTTTGTGGGTAATCATAAATACTATGCTTGACTTAGATATACGTCGACTAGCCATATAATATGTGGTTGCAGCGGTATACTACATCACTATATAATAATATGTAAAACGTTTAAACAAAATATAATGGTCTACGGAAATCTTAATCAAATCCCATGTTTTGTTTAGGTACCTACATGACAAAATTTGATTACTAAATCACGAATATACATCTAGGATTTTATTTCAGAATCGGTAAAAGCAATAGGATAGTTTAATATTATTTTAAATTGATGATGTATTCGTTCAGGTTTTCTTATAGTTTTGCAAATTGATAATTATATTTAAGATCTTATTTTATTACCTAATGTTATTACACGAAATATTATTCTCTTCGAGTCTTTATAAAAAAAGTTTTAAATTTAACGATGCAACAATGTGCCTACCTACCTCAATTAACATTAATATTTTAATAAATAAAATCAAATACACCGTTTGTTTACCGTTAGCGGGTATCTACTGTTAGTTTTACTTATTAGTAGGTAATTTATAATAATATGCCTCTAGACTTTCACTTAAATGTCAAGACAAATAGTGAGATTCGTTTTAAAAGATTACCAATGCTTAACTATTATAGACGATACGCGTTTAATAAATTGGCTCTATTTTACTAAATACAACTGTGACTCTTAAAAAAACTAGACCAATGCATATTACGTGGCGTATTATTGTTTATCATTAAAATACGGTCGAGTCTCGATAACTCGAATCCCTAGGAGAATAAAAATAGTTTCGACTTGTGTATTTTACAAATTGTATAGTAACCACAAACCCAACTCAAAAACACTTTAAGGGACAAGATGAAAATTCGAGTCATCGACATTTTCGAGTTATCTAGACTCGATTGTATATACATATAAATTATACATACAAAATACATACATAGTATAATGCATATTATGTTCGTAATCAGTAAAAATATTATATATATTATTATAATGCAATTGAATTGTCATACTTTAAAAATCTATTCCATATTACATTATATTTGTTTCCCTAAACACTGCAGTTTGGGATACCTGTGGCATTGGTTGTCAAATCCCGATTTATATCCATTCATCGTCTGTAACGTAATGGACGTGCGCACAACGTTGAGATAATGATGTTTTTTATTTTTCAGGAAACTCGCTCACAATACCTACTATAATAATATCACTACAGAATGTAATTTATACCTCAGTATTTTAATTATATGATTTTACATAATGATCAATCGAAGGTTTTACTTGGGAAATAATATATACATATTATAATGACATTCAAACATGTTCAAACAAATCTCACCAATTTAATACGAAATTTGCTGTTGATTTTACATTAATTGTGAACTATACAACGGACAGTTAATCGCCGATAACCCTCAATAGTATTATAAGTAAACTGTTTTATAAAAATTATTTTATATAAGATACATATTTATAAGTTAACAGATGTGATATTTAAATTATGAAGCCCATAAATTCGTAAACATTTTGATTGTATAACTGATTTATATTTCAAGCTGTATCTCCGCCATTACATCGGGTATAGGTACGTATAGACGTATTATAGTACTATATGTAAATGTAAAAAAATCACTTTAAAAAACAAATTTATCGTTAGGCATTTTATAATCAAAACTAAGACTTGATGGCTGAATAGAATAATTATTGTACCCAATAATTATTATAATGTCATTATGAATTATACATTCAATAATATTTCTGTATCCATATTATTGTACGTGTTTACACATTTTTGCCAAGGTTATGATATTAATCATTTAATGGTAGAACTATAACTCCTTATAAATAAAATTGCAACTTATATAAGTACTTACTTATTTCCTTGGCCGTTTTGTATGAAATAATCTTCAATCATTTTATAGAAGTTACGATTATTACTTGGGTACTTACACCTGTTATCAAACTACTTTAACAGTTAAATATAACGCACACCGTATAAACTAATCAATCTGATGATTTTGTTCCTGACTTACAAAATGTCTTTAATATGGGTAAATCAATTATTCGGATTTCGTTCATCGAATAAACTTACATGTGAATGAAACACTCATCGAACACCTTACAGCAAAGTGAAGACGAGTAAAATAAAAATGAATAACCAAAACAATAACATTCCATTGAAATTTAAATCATTCTTTTTTATATTTGCATAGTACCTATTTGAAATTATAATTTAAAATTTGTATTTCTCCTTATGATTCAAATAATTCGTTTTATAATGATATTTTCCACAGTCCCCTATTATATTCAAACATTTTTTAATAGTTCTATGAATAGTCAATACAACATTATAAAGGTTGATTTTTAGAATTGAATTGACACACGTGTCAACCCATGATGTTTTTTTTAGTTTATATTTTCGCCAAACCTTGAACATAACATTGTCACTTTTATTTGGACTGCCCAAGTTGTATTTTATAATAGGTACACAGTAGTACAATACATTTGTATTAAACATTAAAATTAATGAAAAATTTTAAGTACAAACACATAGTTACAGTTATAGACGCAATATTATATTATACTTAAATTATATTTTAATATTGTGTCTGACTCAAAATATCTGATCATTATAAAACCAAACACTTTTAGCAGAGAATTTTACAAATTACTTTTAAATTTAATTTAAATTGATTTTTGTAACTACGTATACAATTTAATTGGTTAGGTAGGCAGTACCTACAGGTACCTATTATTAATTGTAGTTTCATATTTTGACACTGTGTATCGTAATATTGCATATTTTTTTGTTCAGAAACTAAAACAAAAAACATTTTTTTTTTTTTTTTTTATTAAAATAAAGTATATTTACAATCTATACATAAGTGTATAATAAGTAAGTGTGGTGACAGAGTAATAAGTAATATGTAAAAAAAAAAGTAACAAGAGAAGGAAGGCCCCCAGCAGTGCCACCTGACCAGAAATTAGGGTATAAGTTTATTTAATTAATGTTTTTTTTTTTTTTTTTTTTTTTAGTTATGTGTTGAGGAGATCTCTTGGCCATTGCCTTTTTAACCTTCTAGGAATGATAGAGGTAGATGATAAGCTTTTAATGATGGGGTTTGAATGAGCGCGGAGCGTTGAGTGGAATTTTGAATAATAGGATTTGGCTAGGTCGTTAAGGGTTGGCATGTTCAGATCTTTATGGAGGTTTTTATTGGTAACATACCAAGGGGCAGAGGTTATTAGGCGTAGGCATATGGACTGGAATGCTTGGAGGGTTTTGGTGTTTGATGGTTTTGCTGACCCCCATAGTTGGATGCCATAGAGCCAAGCTGGGCGGATTATCGATTTGTAAATCGTAAGTTTGTTGGTTAAGGAAAGTTTTGATTTTAATAGAGGTCTCAAAAGATGAAGTCTGGAGTTCACTGATTTACGTTTTTGTTTAATATGCGAGCTCCAGTTGAGGCGTTTGTCGAATGTTAGCCCTAGGTATTTTACTTACAAAAAACATATTATATTATTATGATAGTTTTTACGAATATCTACACCGACGTAATGTATAATATAATTTCTATCCATGCGTCCACGTCTTCTAAATAAACAATAAGTACCTATAGATATCAGGCACACAAATTTACTTATGGTATGTATGTATTGTAATAATACTCACAAAGATTGTAAATAAAAATGTATTTTTCAAAAAAAATTGTATGGTCACCATCACAAACAATATGATTTTGGTACCGAACAACAATAAAATTATTATATGAGTGTAAAGTGCTAATGTGTTGTTGTTATACAATTATACAAATATAAAATATGTGTAGGTACGGATTCGGCTGTTTTAATAATATAAAATAAATATTTTTCATCATAATGTATGGGTGATGTTGACACTTATGAAGTTCTGAAATTTATATTCAAAATATGTTTAAAATGTAATTTATTATATCGATATAAAAACCAGTCAAATAACAAATAATACCACTTGTCTGTATAATCAAAAATATCTAACTCCAATACATATTTAGACTTAATATTTCCACAGACATTTGCACAGTATTATAAAAATATATTGTATTTCCAAACTGATATATATTTTAAACAATGCATTTTAATATCAAGCAACTTTCCATTATCTATTATCGCGTATAATGATTAAGTTAAAAAAAAATAAATAAACGTTCGCTTATAGGCGGGTAATGAATAATAGGTATTTAAAAGTAGTTTAATAACTATTAATAAAGCATCAATATTTCGTATAACAGCTTATCATACTTTAATGTATTTTGACACATTAAACGTATAATTAAATATCATTATACACATAATATCTAATATTATACCTGAAATATGAATGTGGCAGATCCGCCTTTATGTCATTCTATAGTTTCAATATTTTGTATGCTATATTATAATTTACATGAATAACAACTAAGCAAAAAGGATGTAAATTTTAATATTGTTAATGTAACGAAAACATGTAAGCTTTGAACTCGTAGTAGAATACATAGGTTACTTATTTAGGTTTTATATTTTATGAGTTATTGCATACGTTTAATATATATTTTGATAATAATACGATCAAGTCTTATACCGTCCAAATTAACCGTAAGTCAAACAAAACATTGATTAATAACCGATTAATGGTAAAATAATAAACTCTCTGCGAATGAAATCGTATTTAATTTATTTATAACTGATAGTTATAGCCACTTTTCTTCAGAAAGTAAAAACTTGAAATAACTCAACAACGACTAACTTCGTTAACTTCACTTAGGTATGTTTGGTACATGCGACATGTGTCGTGTAGGTGAGGGACAATGACCATATTATATTGTGACATTGATACCAAAGCGATAAAAAAAAATTATAATTCATAGCGTCATCTTAATATTATTATTTGTGATTTAAAATTATTCATGTGCCCATAGTTCACATATTATATTATATATTTTATTATAATAGCCAGTTTAGTATGGTCAGTAGGTTGAACCCACCGAATGTTTATCACTAAACTAATATTATGTTTTTTGCTGCACGGGTACCGCCAGCATTAACCCAAATAATAACTAGTTTGGACTTTTTAATAAACACCCAAATTTTAATTCAAATCATTTAATATTATATGATAGTTTATTAATACTATATATAGGTATTTACTATTTATATTATAATGAATATTTATGTTGAAATAAGATAACAACCTAGTAAACAAATATAAACCGTTTATGTGTCAAAATAAAAACCTATTTACCTTAACTAACCCATTGGGTCATTGACATCTGACGTGTCAACAGTTTTGTCTTTAAAGCAATTTTACACTAGGTACTGTGAAATTAAACACACTTTGGTCCACACAGGAGTCTGGGGTAGAACGTCTGAACAATTTGTTTTGGAATCAGTAGAGACATAATGCGTGGGTGCGACTATAATAGTACACAGATTTTAAAATATTCTATTTAGAGTTATCGTCATAAATTAAAACATTGTTCATTTTTTTGTTTATTATTATTATATTTAAGTGAAAAATTAATGAATTTAAAAGTTTGAGATTGCTTACGATTCAATATACGTATGAAATAATAAATCTATGAGAAAATAAAAAATAAAAAATGGCTAGGCAACACATACTTTTAATGTATGCGTACATAAATATATTTTGCATAGGTAGGTATTTTAATAGTACAAAATATTTAGTATAATTTTTTATCTATGTGAGGGGGGGGGGGCAACCGTACAGTTTATTCTCCGGGTTTTTTTCTTGTGAATGTTGATTCATAAACGACATCAATAATGATTCAACATTTTTTCCGAAGACAAATTATTTTTAAGCCGTCGTTGTCAATAACGCTATTGTTGATATAAATACCTATGGAAGAAAATTATTACGCATCATGTTTTTAACTGTATAGTTATCTTTAAACACGGAACAATAGATCACAACCTATAATACAATATGTTTGTGTGGAATAAAAAATAACAACAACAATCGTATGGGTAAATCTTGGCAAATATTTATTTTAAATCCTTTTTTATTTAATAATATGTTTTGTTATTTTATTCAAAAATTAATATATTGTAACTAATATTTAATTCCTAATGAACTGTGCATACTTAACAGTTTTTTAATACATTAAATTCAAAGTCCTAACTATAGGAGGATATATTTATATATACATAATATAATATTAGATGTATTACAATATTAAAACATTGTATCTATTATAGACGTGACACTGTTTCCTCTCTGCAGTATTAATCATAATCCAGCTAATAATAAAAGAATAAGGCTATAACTTTCCAATTCACCTCTATTGGTTAATGACATCGAAAACGAATTCGTCTAATGTGCCTATAGCCTATATTATGTTTTTAGAACAGCGTTATGGTGACACGGGAACAAGACGTTCAATTTCTCACCACATAGGAGTATTAAATATGAAACTATAGAGACATTTGAAACTCTGAGGTATACAAATCATCTCACCCGATTGCATTTCCTTTTTGAGGACTTACTGGAAAACTGTATACTAGCAATAGTTGTGATGAAAATATTTTTTTCGATTTTTAGTAATTAAATAACTGTAAATTAATTTATGCGATTTTTTTGTCGATATGGAACTGCTGTCTAGTATAATTATGTTGTTCTGTGCTTGCGTTTTGCAGTGCTGTTACCACTCCCGCAGTCGATAAACCTTAAGAGTACGTCCAATCGGTGTGAGGGAACATTCTTTTAATAGAAAACCTGTTCACTCATAGTTGAACCCAAAGTGTGCAATTAATACAGGCAACATCCCGCATCAGCGCAGCTTCGCAACAATTTACAGTAAACACGCACAAAGAAAAAACCGAGTCAACGACCCTCGCAAATTGGCCAAACACGGGCAATATAATATAATTCCAGGGAAA